AAAAATGTTTGGTCTCTAATAGGAATGCAGCCCCCCCCACCCCCCCTCTCTCTCTCTCTCTCTCTCTCTCTCTCAGTTGGTGTGGAGTGTGTGTGGTATGTGTTTACAGAGACGAGGGGGCTGGTCTAACTGAAAGGAGGTGGGTAGAAAGGGGCGTGAGATTATAAAACCGAGGATCGCCGTATGTCTTTTTGTACCTTCCACACATTTAGTCCCTACCGCCCACGGCCACCATCTGCTGCTCCTGAAGCAGAGGCTCATACAACGGCGTCAAGCCTGGAGCTTTAAAGACAACAACGGGGTAAGGACGAGCTTAACATTCAGCTGATAGATCGGGCTTGACAGACGAGCAGACTGAACAAAACCACCATGGTTTTGATTTTAAAGGATGCGGCGCAACGGTTGGATTTGGTTCATTCTCTGGAAATGTCTAGAAATTAATTTTAGGTCAGTTCATATAGTGCTGCCATATGTCTTTCGGAGGTTTGTGTTTCTTCACGCTGATTTAGATGCTGGTGGATTCACTGCAGCGGCTGCGTTGTATGTTGTTTTTGAATCATTCCGTGTGTTGATTCTTTGAACATCACGAGTGCTTGTGATTAACTTGTTAGTCGCCTAAAGAAAATAACGTGTGTCGTTTAGTGGATAACGGACGGAAATAGCAAGCTTTTTCTACTGGAGTTATTCTTGGCACAAGTCTCCGGGGCATGTAAATGCAAGTCCCTGCTTGTGACGTGACTTGCGTTTACTGCGCCTGTAACCTTTAATTTATCTGTTTGAGGTGAGGATTTAAAGGGCTAGCTCACTCAAAATTGAAATTGAAATCAAAAAGAAATTGTGACATTTTATCTTAAACTCCTGTCGTTACAAACCTCCTATAACTCTTACTTTTGTGGACACACAATGGGGACATTTTGGAAGAAAGTCTTTGTATTCATTAAAAATGAATGGTGACTGAAAATGTAAAGCCTCTAAAATAACTCAAATCAGCATAAAAGTAGTCCACACGACTCATCTTTTTATTCCAAGTTTTCTGGAGCCACACGATAGTTATTGTGTAAAAACCGGACTAAAATAAATGTGTGCGCATGAGAAGTAGACGTATGAATCATTTGAATCGATTCCGTCGATCCTGTTTTTAACACCGGTCTGTGCTGCGCTAAATGATTCGTTCATAAATCGGACTGATCCGGTTTTCGAGTTCAACTCGTCGACTTAATGATTCTGTTGTAGATGTTAGCTCACTGGAGGTGCACAACTTATTTTTGGTCTATTCTCACACAAAGCTAAAGCAAAGCACATTTGTAATATATGCATGAGTCGTTTGGACTACTTTTATGGTGATTCTGCATCCTTTTTTTTACATCTTTATAATGATCATTCATACTGACATAAGGGTAATAATAAACAAATGATCACTTTGTATAAATTTGGTTATTAGAAACTAGTTGTAAGAATTTAGGTGTTATAGTACTTAGTGTGTAATTAAATACATGGCCAGATTTACAATGAAGCTAAACTATCCCTCCCCCCAGGTACCCCGTTTAAAGCACCACGGTTCCTAAGACATTGGATTAGCTGAGTGAACTTTATCACTAAAGCTAAGACCACCGTTGTTGCCGCCATCCACCAGTTCCACAAATCAGAAACAAAATGGTGCAGAACAAGATCACCGAAGTTACCGGATTCCATCGCTCTTTTAAGGTGAGAGTGTGATCTCACTCGTCTCTACTACTGTTGCATGAATAAATATTTAATTGTTTTGGCATTAGGCGATGGATCACATCACATAATAGGCATAAATGTTTTCATTTATTTATACGTTGGACTAGTTAAGAGATCAGGTTTATTCCATTGCATAGGGTATCAGAGATTTTAGGACATTTATTAAACATTAAACCGAATGCCAAGAGGCTCTTAGTTGTTCATTAGAAGCCCAGTAATAAGTATAAGCAGGGCATTTAACAAATGTGCAACATTGTTGAACTGTTGAAGTCTTGAATAATATATATTTTTTAATCTCCAGGGCCAAAATCCCTTTGAATCTGAGGAATTTTCCAAAACAGGATCCCATCTCCTTGAATCTGCCTTCAATTTTGATTGTTCCGCCCGACTTGGTAAGTTGTTTTTTTTGTTTTTTTATCTAACTGTTATGGAAAAACCAATAGGAAGACCTGAAAGCTCTGCCTGTGATTCGTGGCCTTACACCAATGTTTACATATTTTACCTTTAAAGATAAGGGATGAATACTATCTGCTTATTTTTTCTTAGTATGATCCAGCTGTGCTCTGTGGGTGTTTATATTGGAATTTTCTTTCTGTTGTGACACACAGACATGCCATCCAGCCAGCCCATCGACATCCCAGATGCCAAAAAGAGAAACAAGAAGAAAAAGAGATGCAGGGCAACAGACAGCTTCTCAGGGCGATTTGAGGGTAAGTGCATATCAGATGGAGCGACATCTATTTTTGCACGGCTAAGGTGTTAAAATTTCACCAGGGAAATTATTCAAGTATACTTTTACAGTTTGACAGGTCCGAATAGGTTCAGTAGTGTAATAACACTTTTGTTTTGATTTCAGATGTATATAAACTGCAAGATGAGGTGCTGGGAGAAGGGGCCTATGCCAGAGTCCAGACCTGCATCAACCAAATCACCCACAAAGAATATGCTGTGAAGGTAAGATGCTTTACAGGTTACGTGCGTTAAATTTTAACTAACCTGAGCTGCAACAATACAGTGTCACTTAAAATAGCAGTTGCATTCTGTAAACAGATTTTCCATGTGAAGCATCTGTGCAGATATGGCATTCAAGAGCTATTGTTAGAAAGGACTTTCCCTTTGAAGCCGTCTCTTGGAAATGGAATCAAATGGGTTACGGGAATTACATTTCCATCTTTGGCGAGCAGACGTGACTGTAGTTGTTTTGTGCTGACTGGCACTGTTGCATATGTTTGGTGAGGGCATGCTAGATTCCTGCAAGCTGTGGATGGTGAGGTCACGCTCAGGCCATGCTTATGAGATGCACACTTGGATTTGAAAATCTTGATATTACAGCATTCATTATGTAACATGTTTTTAAAAATCTGTGAATAGTATTTACTATTTGCACATGCTTGTGTAGCCATTTTCTCTTAACCGAGTGATGATGATGTTGTTCACACACACGGATATTTGAACACACAGTCCCTCTGTTGTGCTACTGTAGTTTTACAAGTTACAGAGCAGACTTAGCGGAAAGACTTTATTGTTTTTGTTAGACCGGTTGAAAGGCCAACCAATCAGAGACGGGAAACGGTCTTATGCTCTTACCGTTCATCGCTCTTATTGGCTGGTAGATTGTACCGTGGTGGTAACATAATGTACTGGCAAGTCTGCCAAAAAATAAACCTCAAGAGAAGGGGGGGCTAGGGTGGAGTTAAATCCTTGAAGTGTTTACTTAC